CCAACCTTAATGATCCTGTGATTCTGTGATATACATGCCTGGGTTTGAGTTTGCAATGTGCAGAGCACCAATCAGTTTAAACGGTTCTGGCTCCTTAGCTCCAGTAATGAGGAATCTGGGCTGCTAAACATTTGACGACTAGAAATTAATCCTAGGATTAAGAAGCTAACTTGCTCATCTGTGGTTTGTTGAGCTTTAAATCAAAGGCTGATATTAGAAGAGCTGGAACCAGCACCATCCAAGTTCTGGCTTTATCTAGAAAGAAGTGGATCATTTCTAGCAACAGAGACTTTTCTTTTGCATCATTAACTCTATAATTCGGTTGCTGGGCTGCAATTTGAGTTCCCATTTCCTCCTTCATTTAATCCTCTTATGGTGTCACTCCTGTTCTCACGCATTAGGATTAAACGCAGTGCTGCAGTGAAGCACGTCTCTTCCAGTGTGGATGTCCTCCTGCTTCTCTCACCAGGTGGAAATGTAAATGGCTGTAACTGAATGTAAATGTAACAGTACTTTCCTTTTTTCCCTAGTGAGACCTGGCTTTTGTCTTCCCTTCCATCTCTGTGTGTCAGATTCTGCTCGGATTTTTCTCCTCCAGTGTAAATCTGGAGTGTTGATGGAGTAAGAGCAGAAATGTGCTTCAGCTCCATTGGGGATTATGCCTGTCTCGCCCTCCCAGGATTTCTAGTGTTCGTAGTTTTCCCATGTATCTTTGGCACTGGGATCTCTGGCGTCCCTCACTCCTCTAAGTACTTGTTTGTGTTTGTTTACTTGCACAACAAAACCCCTGAAGACTTTCGGGCTTTGCCTGTTAGATCCTGCCAGCCTGTGCAGTCCCTTCCTTGCTCCATCAGGTTCCCTCCCTTTGGCATACACAGCGGTGCGTGCTGAGTAACCGTTCTTCTGATTCCTCCCGCATTTCCAGGGTTTTGTCAAAGCAAAGTGATGTCAGCTTTCATATGGCAGGTCCTTTGAAGATGGATCCGCTGCCATTCAGGTTGAGACCAAGTGGGAGATGCCCAACAAGAGACCTTTATCTCATGTAGCGTCTGTCCTGCAAGCTCCTCTCCTCCCGTAGCGTCTGTTTTGCAAAGCGGGTTCAACCAGGATAGTGGTTTGAAGGAACTAATAGTAAAAAGTTACAGAGGCCCAAAACATCCCAGACCAGACTCAGTCCCTTGGGTTCTGGGCAGACTTCCAGAAAATAGAGCAAATGTTTGTCCTCCCTTCTGACAAACCCCAGAGGGTACTTACAAATAATTTACTGGCATAGCCTTGGTCTCCTTATTTCATGGACCTTGGGAAAATAATGAAAGCAGCCCAGTAAATCGTTTATGTAAATAATTTATTTGACAAGAGTGCGTTTTTTGGAAGATAAAAGTAGTTTGCAAATCTGGGTCAAATTCAGCAAATCTCCTCTGCTAAAAAAGAAATAGAAATTCTTTGAGTAATTAAAGCGCTTTGTTTCCGGATTGTGTAAATCTAAAGGTTGAATGAAATTTTTTTTAATTTTCAAAATGGCTAATGCTTTAAAAAGAGGTGGAAAAATCTTAGGAAACAGAACATCTTAAAAAAAAAAACAAAAACCAAACAACAAAACAAACAAAACCCAAAGAACCAACAAAACTTTGGCTTGACCTGAGAGTCAGTCTTTAGGTTTCCTTGTTTTTCCAAAGTTTCCCAAACATCCTCAGTTCAGATACACTCAATTGATTTTTTTTTTTTTTTTCTTCCCATATTTTGGGACTCCTAATCTGAAAAATCAGTTGTTTGCCTTGTGCTCGCAATGAGGAGTGTTGATCCTCGGAGAAGAGGGAACCTCAGGCTGCAGCTCTGCTCTCTTGCCCAGCCAAGAGCAACCAGCCCGTCCCGAGCCGAACGCCGGGGAGGAGCAAAGCACCAACCGCACACCTGGATCAAGCACCCCGCACCCGGGGTGCTGGGCGTGCGGTAACAGCACCCTGCCCTGCGTTCGCGGGCTTTTATGAGCACGCGGCTGTGAGGGCTCGGTTTGCGTTTGCCCGCGGTGAACCTGCCCGCGGGGGCACACCCCCACCTCTGGGGCACATCCCCACCGCGGGAGGGTGGCTGCTGCACCCTCACCGCACAAAGAGCGATGTCATGCTCTTCAGCGGACCTTTAAACCGCTGCACACCGTGGCTTTTACTAGGAAGGGTTAAAAAAGTCTCACTGGAGAATGCTCGTCGTACCACGTGCTTACAGAAACAAGCCATGGAGAAAATCCCGGTGCGGTGTTAACGGCTAACGCTCGCTGTGCGGAGTCGCGGGGCTGCGCACGTTCCTGTGTCGGTGGTGGTTGCTCTTTACCGTGTCTTGAACATCAACCCGATCTGACTTCTCATGAGCTTCTGCCTCCCTTCACAGGTTGGCTGTAAGGCACTGGTGTTTCCCACTCAATTTAAAACACAGAAATACTACGATATTCTGAAGCAGTCATGTCCTGAGCTAGAAAAATCCAGTCCAGGGGGAATAAAGAGCAAAAGGTGAGTTGGGGACATCTGGTGTCTTTGCACTGACCTCACAGCAGTGTCCTGCCGTGTGTCCTCTCAGCTGCCCAGCACAGGCTCTAGCGGAAGGAGGACGCGCACAGGGTCTCACCTGGAGGGGACGGGTTAGGCTGTCCTGGAGGCTCGCCCTGGCCCCTGTACACCTCTCCAGGCAGTCTTCTTCTTGCTCCGCTGTGGCTGATGGTATTTTTCTTTCTACCAGGCTACCTGACTTATCCGTTGTCATCACAGTGGACTCCAAGCTGCCTGGCACCTTCCACATGGATGAAGTGATGCAGGCGGGGGACAGCAGCCATATGAAGCGGTTGAGAGCCGTGCAGCGGACGCTCTCCTGCAACGAGCCCATCAACATCCAGTTCACTTCGGTAGGTGCTTCTGCCTGCTCCATGCCTCGTGGCTGGGTTCCATGCTGGGGATGCAGGGAAAGATGTGTGCAGTGCTGAGCATCCTGTGTCCTTTGCCTTCTGCCCTCTGAGACCAAGCCCTGGTTCCATCTTCTGCTGTAGGATGGAGGAAATGTTCTAGCATTTCCCCTTGATTCTTCCATTCTTTCTGCTCAGCCCTTTCTCAAGGGCTGGTGGAGACGCGAGGCTGTCGCGTGAATTCTGTGCAACTGAAGTTGGACCGTTTTTTTGTTTGGCTTGGGATTAAGATGCTGTTAAAGAAGAAGATAAAGTCTCCCAGGTTGGGATGGAGAATGAAGTGCAAGATGACCCCAGAACCTGCCTGGGAAGTCGCCCCTGAGAGCACGCGTAGCTCATCCTCAGAAAAGGCGGCATTGTTGCGTAACGCCCTGTGTCTTTCAGGGGACAACGGGAAGCCCCAAAGGAGCCACCCTCTCTCACAGGAACATTGTGAATAATGCCAATCTGATCGGCCTCAGGCTGGGGATCACAGAGCAGGTGGGTCTCGGTGAGAACAGAGTTTGGGGTGGTCTCCGCTGCCGCGGAGAGACCACATGTGTGGAGAGCACTGGTGCTTGCTCAGCAGAAGGGCAGGATGTTTTGCTGCAAATGACATTGGGGGATACTCGTGCATAACATTTTTCATTTCAGTGGAGATGTTTCATTTTAGCTTCGTGTGAAGTGGTTTTGGGGAGGAAAAAAAGGATACCTTTTTGTGGGGGGAAAATTGTGAACATAATCACTTTTCATTTTGGTGAATACTCATTTCAAATAATTACGAGACTCTGGATGTTAGCTTCGAAACCTGTTGAATGAGGTTTTAATTTGTTTTACATCATTTCAGTTGCTTGCTGGGGTAAAACCACGACACATGTATACAGTCTTGTAACTCTTATCAGGCTATGACCTTTCTATTTGTAGTTTCTTTTAAAAATTGTTAAAGGCAAATATTTTCTTTTTAAGTTCTGAAGTAGTTACTTCTAACACAACAGCTTTGATCCAGAAAAAAGATGGGTTGCTGCAATCAGTCCTCAGAGCCTTTGGTGTTTCTAAAGACAAAATAAAATTAATAGCATGTGCTAACTCCTGCGTATTTCATGCCTGTCATTCCACTACCACTCTTCTCTTCTGGCATATCATAAAATAATGTGTAAGCAATACCAGACCGAAAAGTCCAGCAAAGAAAAGACGTTGGACAATTACGGAATGAAATTTTGGCATTAAAAACTTCCCAGACTGTTTTTTAGCAAAGGCAGGAAGCATCAGCCCCATGTTTCCACCTATTGGGAACACAGATGAGTCTCAGGTTTCCAGCGAGTTTTCAGTGAATCAGGGAAAACTTGTCTGTTCAGATCTTTCCCTGTCAGCAGTGAGATGGGCTAGTCACGGACTGGAAGATCTCCTCTCCTCACTGGTGTCTTTGGCTTGATCCCAGGACTATCGCGTTGGCCTCCCCGCACCCCTTTATCACTGCCTGGCGTCGGTAGGAGGCTGCATGGTGATGGCTCTGCACGGGTCCTCCTGCGTCTTCTCATCGCCCAGCTTCGAGGGGAAGGCTGCTCTGGAGGCAGTGTCTCAAGAGAAGTGAGAGTTTGTTTGTGTCTTTCTGCAGAGGAGTCCGTCGCCTCACGGCCATGCTTTCTTCCCTTGCCTCGCCTGCCAGGCTCTTGCTCATGCTCTTCCTTCCCACGATGGGAGAAGCAGGTTTGCTGGTGCACATATTCGCACGGGCACTTCAGGAGCCTAAATCCAGCCTTTTCAGCTGCACTTGGGAATTTGCCACACTTCTCCCTTTCCCAAAAATAAGGGATCCTTCAGGTCACCATAGGGCTTTGGCTGAAAAGTGTAGCGGCGTCTCGGTTTGCTGTGGCTGGTGTGTTTTCACACCTAACCACCTGCCCTCCTTCTCCAAGTCCAGCTTTGCTGCTGAGATAGTTGCATTTCCAACTTGTTCTTCGTGTGTAGCTTGTAAAACAAAAGAGCTATCATTGTGTATGCATAATACACACATATATGGATATTTATATATGGTTTTATATGTACGTTTGTATACGTGCACGGATGAAGAGCACATCTGTAGTGCCTGCCTCCGTGCTGCTGCTCTGCAGCCCCGTGTGCGGTGGGACGGGATGGGGTGCTGAGCTGGGGCTGCCCCTGGTTCCAGCTCTGCAGCTCTGCCTTTCTCTCCCCTTCCTGAAGATGCTCCTTTCTACATGGCACGCCAACCATGTTTATAGACATGCTCTCCCAGCCAGACTTTGACTCCTATGACCTGTCAACTCTCCGGGGAGGTAAGTCTCAGAACTCAAATGGAAGAATCCTGAGAAACTGGGTATTACTGGTTTCCTGCTGGGAGGCTGTATTAAGCTTTGCGAGCAAATGGCTCTCCTGGAGAGAAGAGTTTAGTTGCACGAGCCTTGTGTTTCACTGTTAATTTGATGCTACATTTCCTTTCCTTTCCTTGGGGTTTCCTTCAAGAATTACGTATTTTTAGGATCCTTCTTTCATCTTAAGGCAGGACCTTTCTGTTTTAGCCGCAAGGGAAGGCACCAGGAATAGCCTGGGTTGGCTCAACTTTCTTCTCGCCAGCCACCACCGTGTGGCAGCAGATGCTTTGTGTGCTTTAGGCTGCTGCAGTCCCTAAAGCAGAGCTACTCTGTGGCTTCTCTGAAGTTTCCTGCCTGTTTCTGAAGTCATTCATCTAAGCCCTGGAGAGGGTGTGATGACGTACGCTGGAGAGGGTGTGATGACGTGTGCTGGAGCTTTCTCTCTTGCCGCAGACAGCCTCGGAAATAGCTGAGCCGAAACGGGGAGACCACGAGCCCTTTGAGGCAATGGTGGGATGGAGAGAAGATGGTGCTGGAGGATAAAGAAGCGTTTAAGCAGATTACCTAATCATCTCTGTTTACGTGAAAAATGATCTTGTCTCATCTTGTTCCCCAGCAAAGGCTATATATTACCCCACTCTTTTGTCCTGTCATCCTAGGATGGAGCAGGTGAAAGTTAGGTCTGCCCTCTCCCAGAAGGGCTGCTCTCTGCAAGGCAGGAGGAGAGGTTTTGGTTTTATGGTGGTGGTGATCAATGGGAGTGTTTGTCCTGCTAAAAATCTGTGCCTCTTTCTGCTCTGACTCTCACCTTTTTGGGAACTGCAGCTTGGATTAGGTTTGTGCTGTAGAGTTTATTTTCCTAACGAGTTAAGTCTGCCAGCCCTTAATACATTCAGGCAAACCGGCTTTGCTGCAGCCTTTGCTTCTGGAATAACTAGGACCTGTACCCATAAAAATAGGAAGTATTTTGACAGGAACCGGTGTATCCCAAAGGTCTTGCCAGCATTTAAATCTGGGAGCGCAGAACGTTCTGAGGGACCACTCCTGGGAATAAAGAGATGGTTTCCAAGGTGGTCATCTTTTCCTCTCTCCTCCAGGAATCATTGCCGGTTCCCCTGTTCCCCCTGAGGTCATGAAGATGATTATCACCAGGATGCACATGCCGGAGGTCGTGGTGAGTCGTGGTTGCTGTGGCTAGAGCTACCAGGGGTGTTTGTCATGGTGAGACCCCGAGTCTGGGCACCTCTGCGCCGCAGCGGTGCCGGAGCCGCTGGGATCAGGCGTGATGGGACCGTGGGCGCGAGGCCAGGCTGAGGGCTGAAGGTGTGGAGGGGCTGGGGGGGGGCTGGGGGGAGGAAGGGGGATTCTGCCTGGTTGCGGGTGGGGTGCCTGGCGGGGGGAAGCTGTGTAAGAAGAGAAGACATTGCTTTCCGCGTCGTAAACGGAGCGTCTGCTGGTGCGTTTCCGAGCTTTTATAAACGCTTCTGTTGTACGTGCTGCAAGGATGAAGGGTTACGGACGAGGCGCTGCTGGTTTGTGCCGGTGCGGGTGGGTGCATGCACTCATCCTGCTGTGGAGCTGCCAGGTTTCCTCCGCCACCCCGGGCTGCGCGCGGATACGTCC